AGAGAGAGAGAGAGAGAGAGAGAGAGAGAGAGAGAGAGAGAGAGAAGAAAAAATGGGGAGGGGGGGGGAACGTACGTTTTCGCGACTCGTCTGATTTTCCACGTATTCCTTTTCTCTTCGCTTCCTTTTTCCCGCGCCTCTCGAACGTCTCTCGGTACAATTCGCGGAGAGAGAAAGAGAGGAGAGCTCGAGGCTCGCGATCTACGTTAGAACGAGAGTGGTGGGCTGCGTCCTGAGCTGTTGATCGTTCACGATTCATGTGTACTCCGATCGCCAACCGGTCTGAAAACAGGAACAAACAAGAACATCCATGTGGCTTGTCCATCCACTTTCCGCGAGGGTGAGTCGATGAAAAATTCTTTCCTCGCTTCTTTGCACAAAACTTTTAAGTGAAACACCCTCCCATGGAAAATCGTGCAGCTCAACACGCGACCGAAGAAATCATTCATCCCTTGAAAATGCGAACGAAAAAAAAAAAAACAAATTCCTAACAAACGATCGACTCACCCGTGAGAAATAAATAATTTCGTTTCGATAAATTTGGACGGCGAGGCGTGGTCGAGTTGAGGGTTGATTGGTTGATTAAATTGTGGTTAAATCGGATAAGTAATCGGACTCACCATCGCGTTCGTCGTGGCCGCCAACTGGAGACCCTGAAGACTCGTCATGTGATGGGAATGGGAGTGCGAGTGCGAGTGGGGGTGGATGGGTGGCGGCGCCGGGGGCGCGAATCCCTGGTGAAGGCTGCCCGCGACGCCCACCCCCGTGTGATACATGTAGTGCTGCATCGCTGGGTGCATCGTGTGATGATGCTGCGACGTGCCTGTAATCACAATTATTATTATCCTCGTTATTACTTTTATTACTCTCTCTCTCTCTCTCTCACTATAGATCCGTGTATTTTTACTTTTGTGAATTTCTTTTCGATGATTCGCGCATGTAACGTGTAACGCAACAAGTATAATCGATAGATCGAAAGAATCGGGAGAATGAATTATTAATAATGGAGAGACGATCGATCAGGTGGAAATCCATGATAATTACTTTCAATTCGATCGTCTCTGTAAATTGAACGACGATACAGGAGATATAGGATTTGGAATAAAAGGAAATGGAGAGTTTGAAAAATCTCGAGACTCACTCATGGGTGAACCGAAGCCTGAGTGGAAGGGTTTGTTGTCGAGGTCTAGGTGGCCGCTGGCTTTGATCATATCACCCATCACGCCACCGAGCCCAAGACACCCGCCGGCCTTCTTCTTCTTGCTCTTCGACGACAGTTTCCTGTTCCTCGTCTGGATGCCCTCCTTCTTCATCGTGAGCGGCCGATTCACCTGCAAGAGTCGTAGCCAACAATTCGTTGAGTCGATCGGTTTTAATCTAAACATGGCTGGCCTCCACGGATTCGAGAGAGGCCTCGAGAGGGGCGCCTCTGCCGTGCGAATGACGTACTACTCGTAGTACCCCTCCCCTCCTCGAGAGGGACGAGCGAAAAGGGGATCGGGCCGGGTTAATCACCGTGTTTCAACGCGTAATTAAGCGATTCTCGTGTTACGCGTACACGTCTCGCGTTAATTCTCGTGCACGAAGGTGGAAAAATCACGAGCAACGTGTTCACGAGCGTTGGAAGAAACTTGGGGGAGGCAGTTTTTCTCCCATGACCGGTAATTTTCGTCTAGACGCCGCGTTTCCTAACCTTTATTATCGAGACACGATCCACGATTTTATAATAAGCGTAACGATTCCCCTCTTTGCAATTGATTAATTGAAAATGTGTCTTCGATTCCTGCGCAAATATCAGAGATTCGGTCATACGCATTGTTTTTTCGAGAAAGAGAGAGAGAAAAAGAGGATGTTAAACAAGGATTTGTCGACGAAAGGAGGTTATAAAGAGAAAATTATACGAGATCTTCCTTGAAAATCTTGCTTGAAACATTACTTATCCGCGATATTGTTCACAGTCCATAAATAGGAATAGCCTCATCGCTTACTTAATCACTCTCGATAATCGTCGATCAAAACCACACTGTTACAAAATTACTTTCAACGTGCACGGTTATATTATAGATGCATCTCTATCTACCTATCTATCTACTCTACTCTACTCTACTCTAAGAACGTTTTATCCGAGAAAAAAAAATAGAATACCTTTCAATACCTTTCCTACACTTTTCCCGTATAATTTTCACGACGGATAATGCGAAACATAAGACAAAACCGTGCACACGTATCCGTTCGCAAAAATCACGCATCGACTCGTCGCACAGTGAACGCACGAGAGAGGGCAGAGCCGAGCCGGATCGAGCGCATGCGCCGATCCTCGGTGTGTTCGTAATTCGGCAATTTCGAGCAATCGCGTAATTCCGAAAAGAGTCGTTGACCGTCTGGGGCTTTGGGTGTCGCGGGAGGAGAGAACGAGATAAAGAAGGCTGGGAACAAAGGGGGAACGGACGGGGTGGAGGACGAGGGAGGATGATGGCTCGGTCGCCACCTCCGGAGAGGCCCTCCTCGCCCGCCCTCCTCGTCGTCGTCGTTCGCTTATCCCGCAATACCGGGAACCTTTTCCTCAAGTTGGCAGTTGCGTCACGTCGCGGCAAACTACAAAGCGCTCCGCCGCCTCCTCCCTCCCTCCCGCCCTCCTCCCCCCCCCGACCCGTGCATTTCCTTCCACGCAGCACAGCGCAACGATGCGGCACACCACACTTGCATACCTAGTTATTTCGTACTTAAAGCATTGCACGCGCATCGCGCGCGCGCGCGCGCATAATTGGTCCTGCGTCGCGAAAACGCTCGAGTGCCGCGAGCCGCCGCTACGCGGCGCTCCCGTGTTATTGCCGATCGATGGCTTGCGGCGAGTGGACGTGGCGAGGGGAGGGGGGGAGGGATTATTTGGACGTATTTTTTATTCGGACGGATTGGAAATCGATTGGAGATCGAAATTGGACGAGAATCGAGCAACGATCGCGAGATCTTTGTACGTAGAAGAAATAGGATGATAAGCGAATACACCTGTATACCTCGCTCGCTATAAAAAAAATGTTTTGGGAATTAGAAACTATACTATATGATTTTATAAAAAGTAATAATTGGAACAGATCCGATTGAACTCGTCCATTCGATATTAGGATTAATCATTTAGATAGCTTTTCCTACTGATCGAAAAACACGCTCGATGCGATATACATCATATAATTAGCGGGGCGAAAGAAATGGCAGCAACAATGGTTAAAATCCTGACAAATTTTCTTCCATAATCTAGAAGTCTATTTCTCAGAAAGAATTTTTGAAAAACAGGTTAAAGATCCTCTCTTCTTAAAAAGTATAGATTCTCCATTTGAGAAGAGAGAAATCGTATAATTGCCGCGAGAATCGTAAATAAGAACTTTTCTTCCTTTGCCAAATCTTCCGATTCAACCGATTCCATCCACGATCAATCTACACGATACGACAACCGTGACGACAAGAAGAGGCCCCGCAAGAGGGGTGGTTGGTGGGTCGAAAACGCAGTATTTTACAGGATCGACGGATGAAGCTTAATGAGCGAGCAAGAGGGAGCGACGTAACGACAGCGGCGGAAAGAAGAAGCAGGGAGGAGTAGAAACGACGAAAGAGGAGAGAGCCTCGAACCGATTTGAATACAATACGCAGCGGCTTTAATAGGAACCGAGCGACGAAACCGATCGCGAGGTGCAAACAAAAGAGAGACGGTGGAGGGAGCGAGATCGATCGAGGGGAAGGAAGGTGTACGGAGAGGGAGAGAGAGAGAGAGAGAGAGCCATCTCAGCGGAGATTCGAAATGCAGATTGATGTGGTCACACACGATGCAACCGCACACCGATCGCATACGAATCGCGCCAAGAAGACCCTCTGCGCCCGCGGGTGGGGTCAATGAATGAAAGATCGAGGGGGAGGGGGGAGGGGGGGAGGAGGCTCGGTCGAATTTCCACGCCGATCCTCTTCCCCAATTGATTCGTTCCACGAATTTCCAATCCCCCTCCCCAATTGATCGACAAACGTGAGAAAACGACACGTACGAAACGAGGAGTTGAAAAAGTGACTCGCGAGACGAATCAATAAACGATCGTAGTATAGATCGTTTATAGAAATAATTAATAAATCCAAAAGAAAACGAAAGGAAATTATTTATAAACTCGATTTATCGGTTTCGGGGAAGAAGATTATAAATACGTTCGATGCGAAGATATTTAAAAATTCGAGAAAATTGGAAATACTTTCGAGAATCCGTGGGGAAGAATTCAGACGAAACGCGATACGAGAGAGACTCAAATCAAACCAAAGCAAACCAAACCAAACCAAACCAAACCAAAAAAAAAAAATGAAAATTATCAAGAATCAGACGAGGGAGACGAAAATCGAAAGGGCGTGGAAAAATGTGTAGCAGAAGTTGCACGATCTCCCCCTCCCTCAGCCCCCCCCTCCCCCCGCTAGGCTCGGCTAAAAACGTTCGCGGAACGAGGCACGGAGGAATGTCTCGTAGCCGGCTCGTCGGGGGCATATCAATTGGCGGCCCTTTGCGCCCGACGGCTACCCCTCCACCTCCCCCCTCGCGCGCGATTTTACAACTTCCTCGCGGGACAAAGCCCCGCGCGCGCGCGCGTTGTTCGCCGAACGGAGGAGGACACTCGCCCCGCGTCCCGCGCGTGATTTATCCGCGAGCCGCGAGTCGAATGAGAAAAGGAAGTGTGAGAAAGAGCTTTCGCTCGCCCTCCTCCTCGCTCGAAACGGTCGCCCGAAATTCCCGTTGCCCGGTTTATCGTGGTTCGTGGATCGTGGCGCGACCACACACGCGCGCCGCGCTATCTGCCGTCCATCGGGGGAGATACGTATCGGGAAAAAGACAAGGGGGGGGTCTGTTCGACGCGCGGATCTATCCCCGGCGCGCCTATTTTCGTCCCGCTTTTCCATTTCGAATCTTCATGAACATCTGCGCGAACGTTCGACGCGTGCTCTCTCTCTCTCTCTCTTTATCTATCTGTTTATCTGTCTTTCGGCTTTCTGTCCGTTTGTTTGAGAGAGATGAGAGAGATGATCGGGTGGTTTACGTTACGATTTTTTGACGAAAGATGAAGCGGGGACGGTTTTACGTTAAGAAGGTATGATTTTCGATGCGAGAGAGAGAGATTGTTGGTTTTCATTTTAGTTTTTACTTATTTTGGAGTTATTTCTTGGAGTATTTTTCGTCGCTTTTTTATTTTACACAGGGATACGTTGAACGTTTCTACTTTTTATCTTTTGGGGGATTGGTTGGTTATTGATTTTTCGAAAGGTGGAGAAGGAAGGATTTTTTTTCGGTTTTCGAAGGGAAGAGAGATTGTTCATCTGGTTTACAGGAATTGATTTTAAGAAATGGAGATGTTATTTCGTCCTCCAAGGATGCAAGATTAATTTGCTACAATTGTTGATTTTTTGAAAGATGGAGAAATGATTTTGCTTCACGGAATTAAAAATGTAAAGCTATATTTTTTCCATTTCGATCTTCGAAGGATGCAAGATTAATTGGTTACAATTGTTGATTTTTTGAAAGATGGAGAAGTGATTTTGCTTCACGGAATTAAAAATGTAAAGGTACATTTTTTTTCCATTTCGATCTTCGAGCGATGTGAGATTGTTGGTTACAGGAGTTGAATTTGAAAGATGGGGAATTAAAAATGTGATCCATTTTTGTTTATCGTATTTGGTATTTCATCACGGTTTTGAAAAATTGGAGAATAGAAGGAAAAATGATATTTTCGTAAAAAATTGTGACTCGATCGATCGATCGAAGATTTGTGTACGTTATTTCAATTCATCAAGGCTAATCACGTAATCTCGTAAAAGTTAAACAATAATTATACATGTAGCCATATTTTAAAAGATTTCAGAAAATTTTTAGAAAAGTTGATCGATTTATCTTCTAAGCGGCTCATTTCCATATTACGTGCGCGTAATAATAATATACCTGGCAGCATAACAATGTTCTCGTGTCTAACTCGAAAGAAGTTGTTCTCCTCCTTTCCTCCGTTAAGCGAACGTGATTTCCGGAAAATTTTCATCGCGAGACGATCAAATTATCTCCTAAGCGAACCTCATTTGCATATTATTTGCGTATCTAATAACTCTTTACAACTCGACATCCCCGACAACTTTTCACAAAATTGAAACTTGATTCATTCGAATTTCCAACGCAACAATTTTCCAAAAAGAAATCCTCCCCTTCCTTCGTTACATTTCCAAAAAAATTCTTCATCGAAACGAAAATTATGATTTCCACAATTTCATTGAAAATTAATCGATTTATCCTCTCATATATAAATAATTCCTTCCTTTCCCTCTCAAACTTGATCGAATCCAATAAAATAAAGTATTCTTCTTTCTTCCATTTCCAAAAAAATATTCTTTATCGAAAAGAATTCTTTCAAATTTAAGTAATTTCCAATTCCAAAAAAAGTGTTCCTCCATTAAGTGAATATTTCTTTATCGAAACGAATTCGAAAGTACATTCTATAAAAAAACACAATTTCCAGAAAAATTTTCATTAATATAATTCCCATCCTTCTCCTCTCAAACTTGATCGAATCCACTCTCACTCACATCGCTTATATCCAATAAAATAAAGCGTTCCCCTTTCCTCCGTTTCCAAAAAATTCTTTGTCGAAACGAATTCGAAATTACATTCTATAAAAACCATAATTTCCAGCAAAACTTTTTTCATTAAAAATTAATTAACCGTTGTATTATAAATAATTCCCTTCCTTCCCCTCTCTCAAAAACTTGATCGAATTCCACTCTCACTCGCATCGCTTATATCCACATATTTCCAAAAAATTCTTTGTCGAAACGAATTCTATAAAAGAACATAATTTCCTGCAAAACTTTCATTGAAAATTAATTTATTATATCATACCCCTCCTCGTATTATAAATAATTCCCTTTCTTCCCCTCTCAAATTTAATAATTTCCAATTCCAAAAAATTCCTGTTCCTCCATTACGTGAATATTTCCAAAAAACGAATTCTTTATCGAAACGAATTCGAAAGTACATTCTATAAAAAAACCATAATTTCCAGCAAAACTTTCATTGAAAATTAACCGATTTATTCATATCATATTCCTCGTGTTATAAATAATTCCCTCTCAAAAACTTGATCGAATCCACTCTCACATCGCTTATATCCAATAAAATAAATTTAATTTCCAATTCCAAAGAAGTGTTCCTCCATTACATTTCCAAGAAAAAAAGAAATATTCTTCATCGAAACGAATTCGAAAGAACATTCTATAAAAAACGTAATTTTTAAAACTTGATCGAATCCCACTCTCACTCGCATCGCTATCTCACTATATCCACGCATAAAGTAAATCCAAATGTTCCAAACTCGGAGAGAAGCGTCCGTCCCCCCCCCCCCCCATTACGTGAACGGGGTTTCCGGAGTGACGAGGATCGTCCTCGTTCGAGGAATTTCTCCATCGACCTCCGGCGACCCTCCGGCCAGGATTTCGAGCTGCGATTACCATATTTCGAGCAGCCGCCGGTAGCCCGACGCCGAGAGAGCACGAATAATCCGTGTATTTTCGACCGAGCCACTCGTCGGCTCGGCTCCGCTCGGCACGGCTCGCTCGCTCGCTCGATCGCGCGCCACAACTCGCGCGGCTGGGCTCTTCCTATCGGCCCGCTCTATCTTAACGACGCCAGATCTGTCGTTCCCTGCCCCCCTCCTCCCCTCCGCCGCGCCGTCTATCTCGAATCTCGGGACAAGGGCCGTGTACCCCTCTGGTGGCAGGTACAAGAGAAACTGCCGGAGACGGTGCTCTCGAAATGATTGATCTCTTCGCTTACGTACCTTCCCTTACGCATACTTGGTAGCAGCCATCGATTCTTCTTTCTTTTTTCTTCTTTTTTTCTTTCTCTTCGCGTGCCTTCTCTCGACACACACGCCGTGTTTTGTCAACCAAAGATCCCGGATCTTTTCGTGCCATTTTAATCGATCGCTGAGAGTATCGCGTTTACGAAATTACTCGATTACAACAACGATCCAATCCTTGTCCCAAAGCTTATTTTCTTTGTTGCTCGTAAATTTTCTTTCCGTGAGTAAGTTTCGTTTAATAAGAAACATTGTATAATTTCGAGGGGAAAGAATTGCCATCAATTTTGCAAATGGATCGATATAATTTTCGATGTATCGGGATTGGCGTTCGAGAGGGAAGAACCTTGGACGAGTGCAGGGACCCCTGGTTAATCCTCGCCGTCCGATTGTTCGACGTGGCCGTAGGGGAAGAGATTCGGAGACTGTAACGTGTCGGCTTAACGTCACCGAAGACAGTCGCCTATTCCACAGCTTACCCGAGCAGCAATCCTCCTCCTGCTCCTCGGCTGTTCCTTCCCCGGGAAGAGCAAACTCGAAGGGAAGAAATGGCGCGATGAGTTTCGCGCGTTTTCGTCTCGTTTCTCTTCGAGAGATGGACGAGAAAAAAGAATTCGACGAGAGAAAGAGAGAGGAGAGTATCCGAATTTATTCTCTCCGTTGGTGGACGGAGCGTGCACGGCGTCCCATGTCGCTAGGCGGGGCGGAAGGGAGCCCTACGCTTAATTAATGATTACCAGGAAACGTGTCTGAGCCCGGCCTTTATGCCCGGCATTAACCAACGCGAGGATGTCGCTTGCTGGTAAGTCGCTGTTGGTCACTCTGTGGCTCGCCTCGCGCCACCCTCCCCACACCCTGATTCTCGCCAGATAAACGTCACGAGGAAACGCGAATCGGGATCTTGTAGCCTTTAACCCTTTCGAGGGTAATGGGACGAGACGAGGGGAAGTCGAGGTGAAGAGGAGTTTTTTTTTTTAGAAAAGAAGATTTTTGTGTCTATGAATTTTTCCATTCGTCGTGAGAAGTCTTGAAATAAACGAAGGCTCGTTGTTATTTTATTTTTTTTTTCTTTGTAAAATTATTGGATGTGCAAACGAGTGGATTCGATCGGTGGTTCGAGAAGAACAATAGGAATAACGAGTTGAGGAGATGCTTATCAAATTTTTCGTTCGAATAATTAACGAGTCCATTCTTCGCTTAGTGATCGTGTTCGAAATCGTTTTGATATCGCTGTTTTAAATCCTTACTTTCCAAATTCGTATCTTGCTTTCTTCCTCGACCAGACTATCTCAATCTAAAAATATTCGATTTATTTAAACTGTCTAATTTATGACTTAATCTTCGTTCAAATTTAGTTAAGCAGTGCAAATCGTATAAATATTACAACGATAAAAGTGTTAAGTCGATGCAACAATTGCTTGGAACCGTAGTACTCGAGAGCGGTGCATATATCCAGCGTATATGTTGCGCGTCTGTCTTTCGAAGCGCAGATCGACATAGGCCGATAAGCCGCGGTAGAGGAAAAAGCCGCGTAAATTCGAACGGACCATTTGCTTGGAGCCGGGAGGAGAGGACAGTGGGACCCGTTGTGTCATCGTGGGCCAATTAGGCGAGCTGCAAACGGAATCTTATCAAGATCGCGCGAGAGAAATTTATTTTTGACCCGCGAAAACTCGAGAGGAAGGATAAAGGAAAACCGAGAAACAATCCTCGTCCAACGAGGAATTATAGCGGATGTAGCGCAGCGAGAGCTATCGAGGTCGACGCCCACCCATAATCCACGACCAAGATTTCCGCAAGCGATCGTTCTCTCCGCGTGAAATACGCCGAGTTCCTGAGAAAAACTCCCAGCAGGATGTCCGTTTTTCCCTCCTCCCTTTGTCTTCCTCTGCTGCTTCCTGTGTCACACGCCGTTGAGCACGCTCCACCCCCGCCTCATCGTTCCTGGCGACACTCTTCGCACGTCCGCCGACTCCACAGAGCACCCTAATTGTTGGCACAACAGAGGGTCGAATCGCGTAGACGGAAGGGCTCGAGTGGCCATCCCGCTCGAGTTTATCGAAAACAAACGAGACGCTTCGATTTGGGATAAGATTTACTTCGGTTGTAATAACTTTCTTGATATTTTTCGTTACAGACTTCTTATCTCTTATCTATAATGGAGTTATCGATGTGTTGAAAATAATTATAATTATTATAATTATAGTTCATCTTTCGTCTCGTTTATGTATCGAAAAATTTGATACCGATATACGAGTATATATGAGTTAGAGTAAAAACGTTCACTTGCGAGAAAATAGGAATCGATAAGACATCCGACGGCAACCATCGGAACTAGCGAAACGTATTAAAGTTCGAATGAGAAACATTTGGCTAGTGTCTATTCCAGGCACATTCGAGGACACGACAATTGCAACGACAATTTCAGAGAGGAAAGTCGCGAAGAATGCGAGTAGATTGTGGTCGTAGAGAAGAAAGAGGATCGAGGAATTAGGTTCCACGGTACGACAATGGATGCTCGAGAGAGGCTCGCCGCGACAATAGCGATCCGATATTACGTTACACGGGCCGGTTTACGATCAGTGGCTTCGACGGTGGCCAAAGAACGACCTTTTGCCTCTGCTGTTTATCGAAGGACTGCTTTCATTCGCCGGATCTCGTATCCACCGTTTAATACCCGAGTCCCTTTGTCGGCCTCTCCCTCCTCGAAAACATTGTATCGAGTGGCACGGATCTTCCGCTTTCGATCGTTCGCTCCGATTCCGAACGGAAGTCCCCCCGATAAATAAAATGCTATATACCCGCGGATCTCTTTTTAAAGAAATTCAAAAAGACCTAAACGATATTTCAAGAGACATGGATTTAGTTACATGGATGGTAAAAATTGGATAACTGCACGTGTGTTTTTACACACACGTAGAATGTTAATATATCCGTTAAGACACTTTTGGAGGGTTAATTCTATAGAAAAAACAAATATAAAAGTATCAATTATTTATTAAATTGTAACTTGATGTTTATAGATAATCTTTATCTTTGTCTCGTTTTATTTTATTTTTTATTTAATATATAAATTTCAATCGATACTCTTGTATTTATTTTACCTTTCAAAATCAATTCTCTAAATATATTAACATCTTATACGCATAAAAAGAAAAGTTCAAACTCTGATTAAACTATATTCGAATTAAGAATCAATTCCAGAGATATTTGTCGAGCAGTAATCCAATTTTTACTATATATATATAAAATGTATTTAACAGGATTCATTGCTCGAATCCGATCGAAAGACTGGTTGGTTGGTTCGTTAGTCGTGGCTGAGGATCCAGCCGAGAAAACGTCTATGATGGAGGTTATGTATGATCGATTACTTACGTTGTGCAGCTTGTAGTAGAGGCCGCACGCGTTGCAAACTGGCTCTCCGGCCTGATTCCTTCGCCAGAGCGTGGTGGTCGCGGTCTTGCAGTTGGCACAGCTGGTGCCCGCCCGTCTCGCCGCACTCTGCAGCGACAGTTTTGGAAAAGAAAACACACAGATATCACACCTGTAACGTACTGGAAACCGAGTCGTTTCAACTTTGAAAATATTTAAAGAATCATGGACGACTCGGTTTTACCTAATAATGATTTCGTTCGAGTTTCTGTCTCTAAAGATGATTATGATACGTTTGCTTTACATCCTGATCAAAACTTGATTTAATTTGCAAAATAAAATCTATCAGAAATTTTGTCTCGTAAAATAGGTTATGTTTCTACATATATTTTAGATCATGGCAATTTGCAAGACAAAATTTCGCAACAGATTGCAAGACGCTATTGTACTCGACGTTTAAACTATTAAAATTTTCAACGATACACAAATATTTTTACACTGTTCTACGCTATTCTTCAAATAGAAAAAAAGGATCGAAGACGCAAGCGCGAATAAACATCTATCTCTTCGTAACCTCTCCACAACACTTTCCAAAGATTTCTTCCCAGTTTTTCTCCCCACAGAGTTATTCATGGAAGAAGAATCGAACAGCTTCCAGAATCAAGAAGCCACGAGAAGAGCCGGGATCGCGTGAAATCGGCCTCCCTTAATCCCCCGGGTTCAGAGGATTGGAAACGCGAGCCCGTGTTCATACCTGACCCGGGATCGTGAAAGGACCCATCTTCTCTCTACACCTGTTTCCCCATCGACGAAGGTATATACCTCGCCTCATTTCCGTCTCGACAGTTACCACTTACACAAATTCCATGGACCCACTTCTCGCAACTTTTCACGTAGGAAACTTCTTCCTTCGATGGTTTCCATTCACCGGCCACTTAACCTCCTCTCAACGCGGAGAAAAGAGACTAGGTCGTGCGCATTGTCGCCGCGCAGGCGGACGGGAGGAGAGGGGGAAGCTCTTCTAATGGAAAACCGATTGAAAGCTGTTTGAGCGAAAAACTCGCCATCGAAATTGCACCCCTCTTTGTGAACTCGTCACAATGAATCTCTCGAGCGCGTGTCCACGAATATAAAATGTCCTGTTTTCCCTCTTTTTCTTCGCTGTCTTTGACGTATCTTTCTCTCGAGAGTGCTCGAGGACGAGGCGGGACGCGTCCCCTTTGCATTGTCGGCACGATGTAACCGTTTTCGAGTAGCTTCCTTTTTTCGATGGAACGGTGGGATAGAGGGCAGCGCCGTCGGATGAAGTACGTTGATGAAGTGCGCCATTTTTAACTTGCATTACGTATTGGATACGTGGATAAGGAGAAGTATCTTCACATACGGATTGTGACAGCGGTTTTTTTTTAACCAGAATTAATGATCTTGGGGATTGGCGATGACCAATTTCTTAATATTTTTAGATAGAGAGACACATAATTCGTTCTACATTGGAACGATGTAATCACGATGTATTATACGAATTTTTCCTCAACAATTTCTGATTCGCAATAAAAATTTTGATTCGTCCAAATCAATGGACGATTACGTGGATATCTGGTCGCCTCGTTGAAGGTTGAAAAAAACGAAGCCAACCATCAACGATGGAAGACTGTTTACACAGTCGGTGGCCGATCCACGAAGGGTGGAGAGAAAAACGCCGAGTGAGAGGAGGAGGGGGTGGCTCGACGCGGTGTGTAATCATGGCTTATCTGACCGATCTTATCGGGGTTGGCGCGTAGCAAAAGGGGTCTGCAGGGTGCTCCGGGCCCCGGCGAAACCCCTCCGCCGTGGAATCAATACGCGGAGAGCCAGCTCATCAATATAGAGGCCCCCTATCTGCTCTAGATCTTTCACACCCTCGCCGCGTCCAGCCTTTCACCTTCTCGCGCCCGCCGCCGGCCTACAACACCCGGTGGGGGTTGGAAATCGTCCGAGGTCTCCTCTAATGGTTATTAAACCGACCTGCCCAACGAAACGAGTTTTCGAATAATTAATCCGCAATTTAAGAGGTGGCCCAAGATTCTGCAATTTTTCCGAATTAGATTCACCCCTATTACACCCTCGAATGCTCCCAAGAGATAACTACTATTTTCACAGCATATTTTTATTTTCTTTTTTTACAGGAAATTTCTCTCTTACTTGTACCCTCCAGAAAATGCCAGAACGATTAAAGAGACGAATCGAGCATAAAATTAATTAAACGACGACGTCGGTTCTCGAAAACACTTCTCCCCGATTTATTAAAATTAAAATTGAAAATTCGAAGAGTGCAAACGTATGCAGGGACGGTGGACAAAATCGACTTGGACAGAGCGTTCAATTTGGAGGATGACGCGAGAACAACGTGAAAGAGGAGCCGCGGTTCTGCGCGGACGAAAAAGGGGCGGCAAGAAGGCCGACAGGAAATAAAAGCACCGAGCGTGCCGGGTGGAAGGAAGAGGAGCGCCTCCCTTCGGACCGGAGAGACCAGGTTTGCGCGGATCGAGAGGGGAAAAATAAAATCGACGCGCGAGTCGAGGCATGGACAGGAAGGAGAGGGGGGAGGGGGGAGGGGAAGAGAGAGAGAGAGAGAGAGAGAGAGAGAGAGAGAGAGAGAGCGGCGAGAGAGAGACGAAA